TATATATATATAAACTAAAAATCCTAATTTCCTAACTATATGGTTTAAACTTAAAATAATTGTTATTGTATTTATGTAACAATTATGATGGATTGATATTTATATTTTCTTGTATTTTATTGTAATTTTTTTATATTTTAGTGTTATTAGTTTATTGTGTTGTTAAATTGGTGCATGTTATTTAATTGAATTGTTAAAATGATCTAAAAATTAATGACTACAAAAGTGTTCACCTGATTTCATACCTGACCTCCTATCCAATTAATTTAGCCGAAAGTCGAATAAGAATGTCACATTTGATCGGGTAGGTTAAATTAAGAAAAAATTATTTCATAAAGTATCGAGTAAGAAAACGAAAAATTATATATCCTAATCGTTGAGTAGGGTGAACAGACCAAGTGGCGAGTGCGACAATCACTCCATGGCAATTTCAGACAACGGCCTAACACCCATTATATTGTCCATAACTTTGGTCCAAACTGCCCAAGCAAAGTTAATTACCAATAATAACCTCCAGCAAGTAACACCAAACACACAACAATGAGGACAATAACGTCATTTTGATCATCATCGTTGTCAAGACACCCAAGTCCAGTCGACTCTCTGTTCTCATTCTCTTCTATATCCACAAACTGAAAGGAAAGTTGTAACTGCTCTCACAATTCATGGATAAAATGGTAAAATGGAGCTGGACCTCCGCCCTGATTGGCGCAGCCACCGCCACTGCCACGACGATGATACTCTCATCTAAGCCTCGAGACCCAACGTTCCACCTAATCTCAGTCAATCTCAGATCTCTCAAATTCAACTTCCCACTCCTCAACGCCGAACTGATCCTCACCGTCCACGTCACCAACCCTAACATCGCCCCCGTCGACTACTCTGCCGAGTTATCCATCTTCTACGAAGGATCTCTTCTCGGCTCGGCTAAAGTCAAAGCCGGCTCGCAAGCCCCTCGGTCTTGCCAGCTCCTCCACCTTCCGACTAGGCTCAGCGGTGTTGAGCTGGCTCATCACGCAACGAAGTTTCTGGCGGATGTGGCGGCAAGAGAGATGGTGCTCGATGCGGCGGCGGAGATCGAGGGTGTGGCTAAGGTGTGGTGGTGGAACCATAAGTTTAGGGTCCACGTGGATAGTCACATGACCGTTGATCCTTTGTTCCTGGATGTTATTGATCAGGATAATACGTCCCGGATGAAAGTTTTTGTCACTTGATGTTGTTGGAGAGAAAAATTTACTACTCCTTCCGTTCCTAAATATCTGTCGTTTTACATAATTTTTTTTGTTCCACAATATTTATCGTTTAATGAAACTAAAGCATAATTAATATTTTTTATTCTTAATTTATCCTTAACTTTTTAATGCATTAAATTAGGTGGAGACTAAGTGTCTTTCATATTCCTTTCCTTCCCAATACGCATTGAATAAGGATATTTTAGTCTTGTGTAATTATTTTTTACTCATATTACAGTTATTTAATAGTTTCCTTAATTCCTGTGCAAAAACCTTAAACGACAAATATTTAAAAACGGAGGGAGTATTTAGGACTATGGTCTATGATGTAATTGTGAAGTTTGACTATTGTCTATGATGTAATTGTCAAGTAGTTTGTGGTTTGAATTTTTTTTTTTTTTTTTAAAGTAGATACTTCCTCCGTTCCTAAATATCTGTCGTTTTACACAATTTTTTTTGTTCCATAATATCTGTCGTTTAATGAAACTAAAGTATAATCAATATTTTTTCTTCCAAATTTACCCTTAACTTTTCAATGCATTAGATTAGGTAAAGGCTAAGTGTCTTTCATATTCCTTTCCTTCCCAATACGTATTGAATAAGGGTAATTTAGTCTTTTATAATTATTTTTTACTTATATTACAGCTATTTAATAGTTTCTTTAATCCCTGTGCAAAAACCTTAAACGATAGATATTTAGAAACGGAATGAGTACATGGAAAACGGGTGATAATGTTGAAACCCACGAGATGAAAATACAATAATACAGATGATGGTCATTATAAAAACCGTTGATTTTAAGTGTAATTTGAAATTGAGATTTGCTAGTGTGACTAATTTTAGAAATTAAATTGTGGATTTTGTTATTCTTTTTAAATTTGAGATTCAGATTCTATGTTTTCAAATGAAGAAAATACATTTACTTCACAAAAAAAAAAAAAAGATATATTTATCTCTAATAAATAAGTCGGGCAAAAAAATTGTCTAATGGTTGTAAATTAGAGTTAATTGGGTGATTTTATAACGTCTCAAAATTCACAATGCATATATTAATTATTTATCAACTATTAAAATATGAGGGCATACTAAAATATCATTAAATAAATCTAATCATTCTTCATTCAATATTTCACTAGATAAATTTTAAATAAAATAATAAATAAATACTTAAGGTTACATCCAAACAAATTATTCCCCAATAAACTAACTAAAGAAATATCAATAACATCCTATAATCAGTTTAGAAACTATAAATTAAATAATCATTCTCTAACCTTCTAATTCTGAATCGACCTTATGACAACCCGGCATCCCAATCTATCTATTCACTTGACTTTGGATTGTCTTCAATACCAAAATTTTAAAAAATGTTTATATTGCAGAATGAGCAAGCAAGCCCATTAGTAAAATTTTCTCAAACCCAAAAAAAGTTTTGAAATAATAAAACAATTAAGTCTTAATTTATAAAATATCATATAATAATTTGAAGTAAAACAGTGACAGTTAATAACGATCTCGAGGTTAAGGTATAAAACAATAAAAATTATTGTTTGTATATATTATTGTGTCTCATTTTATTTTTGTTGCTCCAAAATCTGTTGAGATCAATGAAAAATTTTCGATTGACGGACAATTTTCAGTTGATTGTTTTTAAGGAGTTCAAATGTCTTGTTTCAAGACTTTGTTGGATGAAATTAATGGACAAACACACAATACAAGAAACTAAAAAATAAAGATAACTCCTTTATTAATTCAATCGGAGGGACTTTAGTTACAGAAAAGACTGAATAAACAACCTTGATTGTAGTAGTAACTACNAACTCCTTTATTAATTCAATCGGAGGGACTTTAGTTACAGAAAAGACTGAATAAACAACCTTGATTGTAGTAGTAACTACTTCCTAAAATTGATCTAAAATTACTTCTAAAATGCTCAGATCGTGAGTCATGTGAGAATTTGATTGTATATTTCATCTTCTCAATTTTTTTTGTATTTCACTATAAACTTGATTATAGAATCTAAAAAGAGTGAGCAAATATGAAATATGATATCGGATTTCCTTTTCGTGCCATATGCGCTTAGACTTTATTTTTTTTCCCCTTTTTCTTCCCGGTCCAATATTGGTTCTTGACGGTCTTCGTTTCCGTGTAGAAGCAAACTCTCCAAATTTATGACCAACCATGCTCTTTTATAGCCACTGTTTACGACGATTACTAAATGGTAACATCCAGTTAGTTATTTTTCTTTTTAAATATAGTTATAGCTAATCCCCCTTCTTCAAATTCTGTCATGTGACATTTTTTCAGTGTATTCAGATTGTCAGATGTTAGTACATTGAATATTCCTAAGATTTTATATTTTGTTGTGTCTCGGTTCAGGCCATTTTTTCTTTAAATACAAGCTTTGCTTAATTAATAAACAAATGTGTATTAATAGCTAGCATATTAACGAATGATTATGAAATGTGGAGATGGTATACATATGTTAATATTATGCTAAGGTCCTATTTTTAAATGAAATTTTGTTAATTCTTTTTTTAAATAGCGGACTAAGTTTGATTTTAGGATGTGTACTTTAGTAACAAGAAGGAAAAATGAATTGTTATTTAAAATATTAGTTGTTGCCCACGTGCGTTGTAATATACTATTTTGAGTATCAAATGTTATAATATATTAAAATCATTTATCACTTTTCTTCTTGCAAAATCCATAATTTTAACAAACATTAATAGTGAAATGACCAAAATTTATATTCTATTAGAACGCCC